TACGTATATTAATAAAAAAGGCAAGGTGTTTTTTTAAATCGTCGAGAGCCAAACGAGCGGAATTTAAATGCAAAATTCGTATTATTTCTGCAACAAGAAATTATCATGTAAGACATTTTTTTGAGAATCGTCTTGTTCCCAGAATTATTATGTATATTAAGAAAAAATTAAAGACAAAGATTAATTCCGACCCATAGCTGCCCTGATCTAAATAATGATGAAGTTTTCATTCGTTAGCAGATCTAAGGGCGGACCCTAATTGCAAAATCCACATTTTGCTACAAAAATTTACCATTTTGGAGGTGCTTTAGGTGTCTAAGAATAAAAAAATCATCAGAATTGAGACGGGGTGGGTGGGTGGGGTTTATATTTGCCCTTGTTTCTTAATATACATAGTATTCTTTGAACAACACGATACTTAAAAACATGTTTTTAATTTGTTGTAAATAAATAAGTATTTTGCAGTTAAGCTAAGGTAGGACTGAACAATATTAAGAGTAGTAACTGGAACGAAGAAGGGGTGGGTGGGCGGGGCTAATACTTACTAAGAAAAGACTGCTTATGGCAAACGACATACACTCTAAAAAAGTAGAGGGTGGGTGGGTGGGGCTAGTAGTTCTTAAGATAAAACTGATTTTGGTAAATTACTGAACAATATTAAGAGTAATCGCTGGAATGAAGAGGGGGTGGGTGGGCGGGGCTATTGCTTGCCTATAGAAGATTCTGTATGAAAAAATTAAAATTAGCCCCGCCCACCCACCCGTTCTCTATTTTGTGTCTTCAGAAATAAGAAATGAATGTTATAGCAAATAAGTAGTACCTACAACAGTACGTGTGGGCGGAGCTAGTATCTGCTAAGATAAGATTGATTTTGGTAAATGACATATTTTCTAAGAAAATAAAGGGTGGGTGGGAGTTGCTAGTACGTGCTAAAATAAGACTGACAGTAGAAAACGACATACCTTCTAAGAAAACAGACGGCGGGTGGGCGGTGATAGTACTTGTTAAGAAAAGATTGATTTTGGCAAATCACATATCCCCTAAGAAAAAAAGGGTGGGTGGGCGGGGCTAAAACTTGCTAAGATAGGACTGAACAATATTAAGAGTAGTAACTGGAGCAAAGAAGGGGTGGGTGGGCGGGGCTAATACTTGCTAAGATAGGACTGAACAATATTAAGAGTAATCACTGGAACGAAGAAGGGGTGGGTGGGCGGGGCTAATACTTGCTAATATAAGACTGATTGTGGCAAACGACATGTTTTCTAAAAAAGTAGCGGGTGGGCGGGGCTAGTAGTTGTTAAGATAAGACCGATTTTGGTAATGGCGTTCTTTCCTACGTCATACCCGATGTATCCTGGAAAGTAGCAGGACGAGACGCAGAAGAGCAATGAAGCTGACCCACAGCCAATATACATAAACTTTTCTTAGAAAATATTTTATTTTTATAAATTTTTTATACTACATAAAGTGCACTAGTTGTTGTATATAGCGCTATCCATAACAGCAAAAAATTGGTTCACGGCGAATAAAAATTCATCACAATTGAGACAGGGCGGGTGGGCGGGCTTACATGTTATCTTTTTGTTTTAATATGTGTAGATCTCTTTTCACAACATGAAACTTAAAACATGTTTAAAATGGAAATTTTGTATAAGGAAATATCAATTTTGCAATTAGGCGCCGCGCCATAATTGAAAAATCCATATTTCCTTGCAAAAACCATTTTAACCATGTTTTAAGTTTCTTGTTATGAAAATGATGGATATGTATATTAAGAAAAAAAGGCAAAATATATGCCCCGCCCACCCGCCCTATCTCAATATTTTTTTATTCGTCGTGCTCCTAGAAGGTGGAGCTTAATTGCAAAATCTTTATTTTTCTACGATAAATTACTATTTGAAATATGTTCTTAAGTAATCGTGTTATACTTACAAAGAAAACTAAATGTATTAACTAAAAAAGAAAACCAAAAGGGAAGCCCCACCCATCCGTTTCGACCTCAATCGTGATGGGTTTTTCATTCGTTGTCACACCCGAGGGCGGAGCCTAATTGCAAAATCGATATTTTCCTACAAAAATTTACCATGTTCAACATGTTTTTTACCTTTTATGTTGTAAAAAGAATTCTACACTACACATATTAACGAAAAGGAGGAAAAATGGAAGAATACATTACAAAGAAAAAGGAATAAAGGATGCAGGTAGGGAAATCGGAAAAAGGGAAGCTGGTACAAAATTAGGAGAAAAAGGGGTGAAGGTATTGTTTTGGAATGTCCAAGGGTTGCGAAAAAAGGAAAAGGAGTTCTGGGACTACGTGGGAAAAGTTTTCATTCGTTGTCAGATCGAGGAGCGGAGCGTAATTGCAAAATCGATATTTCTCTATACAAATTTACCATTTTAAACATGTTTTAAGTTTCTTGTTGGGAATAGAGGACTACACATATTAAGAAAAAAAGGCAAAATGTAAACCTCGTCCAGCCGCCCTGTCTCAATTATTGTGATGATTTTTTATTCGTTGTTAGTCTCGTGAGCCAAGGGCAGGAGCTTAATTGCAAAATCCTTATTTATATACAAGAAATAAAAAACGTGTTTTCGAGTATCGTGTTGTTCAAAGAATACTGTGTTTATTAAGAAACAAAGGCAATATATAAGCCCCGCCCACCCGCCCTATCTCAATTCCGATGATTTTTTTATTCGTCGTGAGCCAAGGAGGCGGGCCATAATTGCAAAATTCGTTCGTTAAACGTCGAAAACTATCTTTAACAATACATAAGAACTAACAGAAAGCTACAGTGTAGAAAATGATGGCAGCTTTTTAAAATATGAAGGTATTTGTGAGCAGGTGATTAAATGGCTTAATATTAGTGGACCTCATTATCTGTATCAAAATTTGATTTTCGTGGAATTTGTGCTGTCAACCAGAAAAATGTCCCCCCTACTTCAGGGGATTTTCTTTCAAGGTGGCAGCACTGCATTCTACGACAATTTGATTGGTTAAAAACCCAACGTTAACGGCAACGTAACGGCGAAAGTTACAAGTTGGTCATGTCGAACGTCACTCAACCGGCGTGCCAACTTTCAACGGCAACGTCAACGGATGATATAAACGACGCATACCTTCGCTGCGTATTTATCTTACAACGGCAACGTCAACGACAAATTTATAAATCGACCTTTAGGTTGAACAACACCAAATATTGCGAGCGTGGCGACACAATAATAAGTAGTGGTAAGAGAAAAAGATAAGCTCCTCCGTAGTCTAGTGGTAAGGGCACCCGCCCGGCACGCGGTAAATGTGCGGTTCGATTCCCACCGGAGAAGCAACGTTTTTCTTCGCTTACCCTACACGAGAATACCATTGATTGCTCTTTAACGATGGTCTAGTTCTTCTTAAAATCTATCAAGGAATTATGTTTACTTCCCAGGCGTAAGCCAAAGAAGTATTGGAATCAAGTCCGTCGGCCGACTCTCTACTTCTACATTTTCTCGACTTTTCGTGAACCCTAGAGTACGAAGAAATGGGTCTCTAGTTCCCGTCTGTCCGTCTGTCTGTCTGTCTGTCTGTCCGTCTGTCTGTGTGTCTGTCCGTCTGTCCACCGTCCCGATTTTTTTTTTTTGTATGTTTTTGCAGAGTAATTCATCTATAAGTATTCTCTAGCTGGGCGAGTGAATAGCCGTTGTCACCCCTTGGTGCTTGGTACCCGGGCCAGACCGCCACCATCCTTTACGCCGCCACTGAATCCGCCTTAATTTTTTACCCTAGCCGTCAAGATTTCCCCAAAGAAATCAAAATTCATAACACCCTTTTATACTAATTTAAGTTTTTTCTTCTTACACTGTGACCGGCATTATTTGTTTTTTCTAAACGTATCGATTTCGTAAAATATCGAACTCACACATTTGTCACATAATAAAATAAATTATTTTATGAAAAAGAATGATACAATGTTCATCGCTTAGAAACGCTCCATTAGCAGTGATACAACCTATCATGAAATATAGCCTCTCCTACGCCCAGAAATGTTTCTTGTGAACGGTCTTTAAAAATTCCCTCTTGTAAATCCTTGAGACCAACGGGCGGGGTTTTATAAATAATCGACTTTGAATGTCTCCTGAAGGAAAAGGCGATGGGTGCAAGATCATGTGACCAAGCCGGTCATTCTGTATATCTGTCCTATTTGCTCGTACATTTTTTTTTCAAAATCAACCATTTTAAGTATTCCAAAAATTAAAAAATTAAGCGCTGATCACGCCCCTGTGACAATAGTAAAAAAATCCTAAATTTTATAAGACTTTCTCACGAAACAAAGCGCTACCTCTCGAAAATTTATACCCATAATCACGGTTTAAACCTCCAGACACGCAATGAAAACCGAATTTTTCTCCCGAGACCAGTCCTATAAGCCCGATAACATTTCTACCGCAATAAATGTGGCTAAACTTCGGAATGAAACAGGCATTTATTTACGTCGTATTTTGTAGGAGTACCCATTCAACACACATTAAAATGTTAATAAACTCCTAACAATGACGCTATTATTAAAAACTTTTCCGACAATGGATATTTGGTGTTACGTTGATAACGTGGACGTAAAACTGAATTAGGTAGAAAATTCTTTTTTTTCGTCATTCGAAGCAACGTCACTAGCTTCAATAAAAAATTTAAACTGCATTTTTTTTTAAGTTATGCAACGGAAACACGTGATTTGGGGCAATTTTATGGCAACGAATCACGGGAAAGTTGCGATAAAATGTTTGGTCTGACTGTTAAGAAAATTTTAGAAAAATTCAGTACACACGTAGCGGTTCCGGGAAAAATATTGTATTGCTTTTTTTATTACTTGACATGGAAACACGTCGTTTAGATTTTAAACGTGAATATGCAAATGAGTATTATTTAAAGTCGTTTTTTCTGCGCTGCAATAATCACGAGCGATGTTCGTATTTCTTATAAAATATTTACGATTAGAGCGGGTCATGAAAACAAGACGAGTACTTACTGAGAGGGTAAAATTTGCTTTCACATTTATCTTCAACTCAATATATAGAATGTCAAATTTTCAATAAACACGTTTCACTTTAATTTCCGGTGAAGTTATACGGCCGAACGTACGACTTACATTCCGCTGTAGAAATTTCGCCCAAAAACCACACAACGTTCGTTCATTTCTTATCAAACTAACTCAGACCTCGTTTAATAACTGCCATGAAATCTAAAAGCAATACACTTAACGAAATAAAAATCCACAGCGCAGGTACGGCAATAAAACTTTTCTCAACGAGCTTGTATCCGTTATATTCGGTGCAAAAATACGGCCCATTGTTTGCCCGTTTATTATCGGCGATATTATCGTCGATAACGAGCAGAAAGTGGGGTGCTCAAGATATAAATGTCAATAAAACAAAGTACACAAAATCCTCTCCAATTTGTCCGATAAGTATTTAATCTTGTAAGAACTCAGCAGTCGAGGAAATGACATTCTCGAAAAAACCGCACCGTCTCGAAACGACACGTTTCAATCGCTCCGATACGCTTTCATCCGAATAAAAATTTATGAATTTATGCGATCGAGGCGAAATTCGCGGAAAATTCTATTCGAGCGGATTATCTGTAAATTTAAATGCATGTCGGTGGTACCTCCTTCAACAGGTGGTTTATAAAAAGCAAATCCTGCGGAATACGTACATTTTAGAGTGAAAGTGTATCGATTCGGGCGGTATTTTTGTGGCAATGCGGGTTTGTACTGTTGCGGAATGGAAAACGTGATGGAAAAGGCGACAAAAATCGGAAGGATTTGGTGAAGGATGAATGTGAAACGATAGAATGATGTGAAAGGAGAGCTTGTGGGAATAATAAGAGAATTAAAGATGTAACAGTATTTGTCCTGATGACCACAAATGTTCTAAATTGACGGTCCGGGAACTCGGGGTTCGGATCCACGCACAGTTAAGTCAATTAATAAACTAATTATATTTTTTGTAAATTAAAAACCGAAGAAACAATGATAAAAAACTTCTCATAAACAAAACCACGCCTCACAACTTGTTTAGTTGATGAGTAACGAGTATTAATTTAAAAAAATCATCAAGTTTACTTTGACATTTTGGTAGAAGGAAACGTAGCAAAAAACGCATGTAGATGATTAATATCATAATTGATATTTGAAGTTGTCATCGATCATAAATTTGAATTTCAGAGTTTACTTAAAAACAAAAATCAATGGCAACTTGAATTTTTTAAATGAACATCCGTTATGTGCTCAACCCGTATTCAAATTTTCCATTGTATGTATAAAAAATTGGTCGAAAACTGTTTCGACAGAACTTCCCTCGCTCGTGAAGTACAGTGAAACATATCCAGCATTTTTAAGTTGAGTTTTTATTTTATAGATTGACATATTCATTAATTTTTTTCACCCACCTGTATAAGCAAATCTAAAAAATATACTTCGGATAGATTTAGGAATTGAATTCGTTACTATGGAAATTTGCAATTTAACACCTTTAAATTTCACAAGTTTTTACAAGATTAATAGGGTGAAAATCAGTTTTACCTTAACAAATACTTGGTCCGCCCACCCGCCCCCTATTTTTCCAGAGAATATGTCATTTGCCGAAATAAGTCTTATCCTAGCAAGTACTAGCCCTGCCCACCCACCCTTCACAAGGTATGTTATTTGCCAAAATCAGTCTTATCTTACCAAGTACTGGCCCCGCCCACCCATCCGTTATTTTCTCAGAAGATATGTCATTTGCCAAAATAAGGCTTATGTTAGCAAGAACTAGCGCCGCCCACCCGCCTTTTATTTTCTCAGAGGGTAGTACTTGCTAGTACTTGCTAAGATAAGTCTTATTTTAGCAAATTACATATCCTCTGAGAAAATAGGGGCGGGTGGACGGGGCTAGTTCTTGCTCAGATAAGACTGATTTTAGCAAATGCCATACCCTCTGAGAAAACAGAGGGCGGGTGGGCGGGGCTAGTACTTGCTAAGATAAGACTGATTTTGGCAAATGCCATACCCTCTGAGAAAACAGAGGGCGGGTGGGCGGGGCTAGCAGTTGGTAAGATAAGACTGTATAAGGCCCTAATAAATTTGTAAAAACTTGTTAAATTTAAAAGGTCTTAAATTGCATATTTTCATAGTAACGAGTTAAATTCCTAAATCTGATTGGATATTTATTTTTTAAAAACCCAGTCATTAATTTTTCTGAGACACCCTGTATAAGCAAATTTAAAAAAATATTAATTATATATTAAAAATAAATTACAAGTATAGACTCATCATTTTTTGCACATTTAAGAGAAGATTTATTGAGCAATGTTTTGAGGTGACGTCATAAATTATTTAGGGGGGATGAGCAAATAATTTTGATCAAAAATTTACCATGCTTATGATAACTTTAAAACATCTCTTAAGCAAATTTAGAAAATATAGACTGATCATATTTTGCACATTGTAGATAGGATGTATCCGGCAAACTTTTGAGATGACGTCAACAATTTTTTGGAGAGGATAAGTAAATATATTGTGATTAAAATTTTATCATGCTTATCATAACTGTAAACCACCTGCAATATTTCAAAGCATTCGGTTTTGTAGATTCCAAATTAAATATTAAAATGTTGTTTCCTAATTTTGTTTTTTTTTTTCCAAAAAACTGGACGTTTCGGGTAAAATCTCATTTCGGAATCATAAACTACATGTGTAAGACTATGTTCTTTGATACAATTTAAAACCTAATTACTATACATAATTTTGAACTGCCGTCATCACATTAGTGGTAGGGATGATTAGACAAATTTTGGTTAGCGTTCTACCATCTACATGATATTCCTAATATAAATACAAAATTTGACAACAATCGGTCCAGTACTTTCGGAGATTATCTGTCTAATATAAATCCGGGACGGCAGACAGACGGACAGACAGACGGGCAGACGGACAGACGGACAGACAGACGGAAACGGGAGACCTATTTCTTTATCCTCTAGAGGTCATGATATGTAATGCAAAAGTAGAGAGTCAGCCGACGAACTCAATAGCAATACTTCCTTTGCTTACGCACGGGAAGTAAAAATCAATGGCAACTTGAATTTTTTAAATGAACACCCGTTATGTGCTAAACCCGTATTCAAATTTTCCACTATATGTATAAAAAATTGGTTGAAAGCTGTTTCGACAGAACTTCCCTCGCTCGTGAAGTACAGTGAAACATATCCAGCATTTTTCAGTTGAGTTTTTATTTTAAAGATTGACACATTCATTAATTTTTTTGAGCCACCTGTATAAGCAAATCTAAAAAATATGAATGCAATGGTAAATCACAAGTAAAAATTTATCATATTTTGCATGCTTCGGTTAGATTTAGGAATTGAATTCGTTACTATTTAAATTTTCAATACCTTTTATTTTCAGAAGTTTTTACAAGATTAATAGGGTGGAAATCAGTTTTATCTTAACAAATACTTGGCCCGCCCACCCGCCCCCTACTTTTCCAGATAATATGTCATTTGCCGAAATAAGTCTTATCTTAGCAAGTACTAGCCCTGCCCACCCACCCTTCATAGGGTATGTCATTTGCCAAAATCAATCTTATCTTACCAAGCACTGGCCCCGCCCACCCACCCGCTATTTTCTCAGAGGATACGTCATTTGCCAAAATAATACTTGTGTTAGCAAGTATTAGTTCCGCCCACCCGCCCTTTACTTTCTCAGAGGGTAGTACTGGTTAGTACTTGCTAAGATAAGTCTTATTTTGGCAAATGACATATCCTCTGAGAAAACAGAGGGCGGGTGGGCGGGGCTAGTACTTGCTAAGATAAGACTGATTTTGGCAAATGCCATATCCTCTGAGGAAACAGAGGGCGGATGGGCGGAGTTAGTACTTGCTAAGATAAGACTGATTTTGGCAAATACCATACCGTCTGAGAAAACAGAGGGCGGGTGGGCGGGGCTTGTACCATCGGGGACACGGAAAAGTGGGCAGAGGTGTCACACAATTGTCAAAATTTCTAAACCAGGCCTTAGATATTCATAACCACGCTTTTAAAGTTTGGCGTATTTCTCATTTTGACACTGACAAAGTGGAAGCTTTATTAAATTTGTTTCAATTATATTGACATGCAGCTATTGCTCGAGATTTGTTAAAAATTGATACAGCTGGCATGTCGAATCAATTGATATATTTCAAAGTTAATTTGACAGTTTTTTCGAAAATATTAATCATATTGACGCTAAAGGTGCATTTACAGACTGCCCAGAATTCCATGTCCCTCATAGTACCTGCTAAGATAAGACTGATTTTGGCAAATGCCATACCCCCAAACTCTGAGAATGTAGGGGGCGGGTGGGCGGGGCTAGCACGTGCTAAGATAAGACTGATTTTGCCCCTATTAAACTTATGAATACTTGTTAAATTTAAAAGGCGTTAAATTGCACATTTCCATAGTAACGAGTTAAATTCCTAAATCTGATTGGATATTTATTTTTTAACAACCCAGTCATTAATTTTTCTGAGACACCCTGTATAAGCAAATTTAAAAAATATTAATTATATACTTCTATTAAGTATAGACTTATTACATTTTGCACATTTACGATACGATTTATTCAGCAATATTTTGAGGTGACGTCATAAATTATTTAGGGGGGATGAGCAAATACATTTTGATCAAAAATTTACCATGCTTATGATAACTTTAAAACATCTCCAAGATTTCAAAGGATTCGGTTTTGCAGTTCCTGATTGAATCAATAAAATAAATTCATGCATTCCTTAATTTTTTTGAGTCGGCCTGTTTAAGCAAATTTAAAAAATATAGACTGATTATATTTTGCACATTTTAGATAGTAACTTTTGCGATGACGTCATCAATTTTTTGGAGGGGATAACTAAATATATTTTGAATAAAAATTTAATTTTTAAAACATCTGCAAGATTTCAAAGCATTCTGTTTTGCAGATTCAAAATTAAATTGCAAAATGTTCTATAATTTTGATTTTTTTCCAAAAATCCGGACGTTTTGGGTAAAAACTCAACACGGAGTCATAAACTACGTGTAAGATTATGCTATTTTATACAATCTATACTATATATACTATGTACAATTTGGAAGTGACGACATCATATTGGTGGCGCTGATTAGACAAATTTTGGTTAGCATTTTACAATCTACATGATATTCCTAATAT